AAAAAAAAAAAAAAAGAAAATATCCCCCTAATGAGTTTCTAACCATCAATACATCAATACAAAACCCACAACCAAAAACTCTGAAGCTCAAGATTTGATTTAAATTGCTCCGTGTTAGCAGCCCATCTAGGCATCTGAGAGAAACATGTTTTAAATCATCTTTGAAGGAATATATTTTAAACCCACATCTTGAAATTTCTACTGACAAAATTTCAAATTTCAAGCTAAATGAATTTACAGTCACGAATCTAAATATAATAGGCAGTAAAACCTAATGAGCTTATGAGAAAGCAAATGCGAAGGAAAAAAAGCAGAGTTGCACTGATCACAACTGTTGGAGCCATGAGGAACACAATACAAAAGTAACTACACATGAAATAGTGAAATATGTATGTGCATATATACCTGTAAATACATATACATATGTGTGTGTGTCTGTGTGTGTATACGTATGTACAAATTGAAAGTAGACACAGGGAAAAGACTGCCAAATAAATAATAAAAAGGAGTAAATGGCTAAGCATTTTCCAGAAATGATTTAAGGAAACAAGCTCAGATTCAGGAACCCCAGTATATCTTGACCAGAATAAATAAAAAGAAATGCCTAATTAATAATATTTTAATTAAACTATAGAGTACCAAAGAGGAAAGATCCAGAGATCAATAAAAAGAAAATTAACATATAAAGCAATAAATGTTAGACTAAAAGTCAGAAAACAATGGAACAGCTTTACAATGCTAAAACCGAAAAGAGTTTTATGCACCTAGATTTTCATTCCCTGAAAAGTAATCTGCAAAGAATAATCTCAAAATAAAGAGATACTTGGGAGCTGGGTTTGGCCTGAAGGTCACTGTCCGTCTATGGATGTTTCAATAAATAAGGATAGTTTCATCCCCCTCCCTTCCCCAATGCCAGAACTTCGGGAGAAGCCAGGAACAAAGGAGTTCTTACAGAGCGAAGAGAGAGAAATAAAATCCCCAAGACCTCCAGGCACCATGCAGGAACAAATGGAAGGTGTCCAAAATAATTCCCCAACTAACACTATAAAACAAGAATTACCTTAATCTCAAAGCAAACGAATCGCAGAAGACAGCGTGTTCCACATACCACTTATGCACATAAACGCAGAACAGAACTACCAGCGAACTGAAATTAGTCATGTTTAGAAAAAGGCAACATACCAGGGCAAGTTTGGATTAATCTAGGAATATAAGACTGACTCAAAATTAGCAAACTGATTCACATAATTGACCATAATAGTATATTAAAGGGGACCCTCTTAAAAACATAGTATTTGATAAGGTGACAACTATTTATAACTTAACTCTTAGTTGACTAGGAAGAAAGGGATAGTTCTTATGTGAGATAGAGTCTCAATGAAGCCCAAGTGGGCCTCCAATTCATGATCCTCTTCCTTCGGTTTCTTGACTGCTGGAATTGCAGGTTTACATTACCAAGCTCAGCAGAGGGAGACATTCTGAACAATCAAGGATTCCTACTTTCATATTTATTCTTTTGCACATCAGATATCCTAATTCGTACACAAAACAAAAAATGAAAAAGTATAATAAGAATAAAAGACAGACTTTTTACATGACTTATTATTTACAAAGAAAATTCACAAGTATGGACAAGAATGAAGAATTTTATAGCTCCTAGTCCATCTGAGCTTCATTCAGCCAAGGGAGCATGATCAGAAAAGTCCACATTATATGAACTTGGGAGAGGTGGGTACTATGTTAACGGCCCATGAAAGGTCATGGGGTCCCCCTCCTTTGCCCTCTTCCTCTTGGAGCCAGGTCCCAGGGGAGGCATGGCACACCTCCACCCCCCTTTGTATTTACCTCTTAATAAACTATCTTCTTTCCTGTAACTAAGAGAAAAATAGAATTAAGAATTTTATAAGACAAATATACAAAAATTTCAACTATATACCAGAAATAGTCAGAAAATGCTATTCTGAGCACCTAACAACAAATCTAACAAGAGATATGCGAGATCTTCATGTAGAAAATTCATAAGGACTAAAGGAAGGAATTTAAAGGAGGACTGTATAGCAAGAGACATAATAGTCATGAATAGAAAGACATAAAAAAAAAGATGTAAACTTTCCTTAACTACCCATTAAACTTCATACCGACCAAAACCAAACAAAAACACACTAAAAAGAATTTTTGCTCATGTTAGGCAATGCTCTACCACTGAGCTATACTCCCTTCCCCTACTACAACATAAATGCTGTACAAATGCATTTAAAAACCATATTCAGTTCAAGATTGGTTGAATTTGAGGATTCAGAATCCCCGGGCTCACTGTAGACTTATATAGCAGCATGTGGTAAACACAAATTAAAAAGAAAAGGGAAGAAAATTCTAACTTTTAAGAAACTTCTTTTTTCTGTGAATTGGTTATTGTGTCTATAATTTCATTTTATAATTTCATTTCCTGAAAAAAAAACAGAAGTTTTCTTTGACAATGCAACTCTAAAATTCACACGAAACATCAAGTATCAGTTAAGACTGAGCTGAATGAGTAGATCTGCTTTTCTAGATGTTAAGGTCTATTTTGGAACAATAGTAATTTGCAACTTGTGGTATTTATAGACACAGTCAAGTAGAACAATAAACAGAAAAGACATCCAAAGATATGTATTTCATGTATGGTAATCCACATAGGCCAGAGCAAGCACTGCATATTACTGGGAAAACATGGCAGAAAATTGTTTATGTACTAGAAAAATAAATGTGGATCACGAACTTAATTGAAGTTCTAATCCCCCAATGTGATGGCAGTAGGTGATAGATCGTTTAAAGTGACGTCATGAGTGTGTGGACCTGTGATGGGACTAGAATTCTTCTCTAAGGACAAAGTTCTTGCTTTCCCCACTAGGGGAAGACACAGTGAGAAGGCAGACTTTAAAGAGAGCCCCACCAGAAATGAACCTTCCAACTCCTTGATTTTAGATGTCTCAGGCTTCAGAACTGTGAGAAAGAGGTGTCAGTTAAGCCACTTGGCCTACTGTATTTTCTTATGGTGGTCCAAGGAGATTGATTTAGGGCAAATGGAAATTTGATTTGAAAAATTCAAAACTAAAAGTTTGGCCAGACATGGTAGCATACTCCTGATGCCAGCACTTAGGAGGCTGAGGATCACTACACATTTGAGGCCTGCCTCAGAAGGGCTCATGCTTCAGAAAGTGAGCTAACAGAGTTGCCTCAGAGAATCTGGAGAGCAAACAGCAGCTTGGAGCTATCAGTTCCCTGAGAAAGTCCAGGTTTCCCCTCTGCCTGGAATTCAGTACAGCTCAGCAGGGGACAGGAAGGATGCAAAGGTAGTAAGAATACCCTTTGGGGCCCCATGTTTAAAATGTAAGCCTGGACACTTGGACCACTACACAGCATCTCTGCCTTCTCTCCTGAGGGTGAAATTAGGTTTGAATCTCTGTAGATCAGTTTTACCATATCTGTCAGTTTACCACCATCTTTAGTATCTTTTCAGACTGACTTTTTTATGATTTTAATTCACGAGTTTTATACTCAGAGCTGTGATTTGAACTCTACTCAAGCACTCCCACCTAGGGTTAGAATTAAGGATCTGAGTTGGACGTGGTGGCACGAGCCTTTAATCCCAGCTCTCTGGAGGCAGGGGCAGGTGGATCTCTGTGAGATCGAGGCCAGTCTGATCTACATAGTGAGCTCCAAGCCAGCTGGCACTACCAAGAGACCCTGTCTCAAAAGGACAGAAAAATAAAATTGAGGATTTGATCATGGGAGTGCTATTGAGTCAACTTGAGAAAAAAAAGCAAGGATTTGGTGTTCTTGGAGTCAAGCAATGAACTTGGCTATAGATACAGTGAACAGGACATCAGGACCCATTAATCACAACCTGAGGAAGTTCTCAAGAAAATGCAGAAGGGACAGCTATCTGCTGATAGAGAACAACTCAGAAAGTAGGAATGTGATTCCTTAGTTTTCACAAATAATTCTCACATATATCAAAATGAGTTTTTAAAAACCTATCCTTCTAAAGATACTAGAGCTTCTAAAAGACAGATGAATATTGAGATAAATTTTATACTCCCCCCTCCCCCAATAACATAGTGTGGAAATAATGTTTCCATGCAAACTAAGGAGCACCCGCCCACTCGCTATGAAGAAATGCCAGACTCACATTGGTGACATACTCGATGTCCTTCCAAAGGATGCACTCCCTGGGGAAATCAGCCAAGTCTAAGAAGTGGTCCACCACCACTTGACCGATCAAGTCATGACGAGAGAACCTGTCAAAGTCATACACAGAGAAGTGAAGCTTCCGAGCTTCGAGGTCATTGTAGGGAACCGGAAATAAAAACACCTCATCAAACACAGGGTTCAGGGTCTTCCTGTGCACTTTAGTCTGGTGCTTTGTTTTCCGATCAGGAAGCAAGTAGATCTTGACGTAAGGATCTGAGGTCCCAGAGAAGTCCTTGGCCGGCAAATTGACAGCTTTGTGGATCTTCACGATGAGCTGCTCCAAGTCGCAGTCGTATTTTAAAATGAAGTTCAGTTTCCCACAGGCTTTGCTGTTACCCCTTCTCCCGTCGTCACTGTCCAGTGACCTCTGCTTGTACAACTCGGGTTTAATTCTACCAATCCCAGTCAGCTGCTCCTGCTTCTGAAGCTGTTGGATATTGAAGTCCGGGTTTGACAGGTTGAGTTGTCTTCGGATTGAATTATGCCTTGAATGAAGAGCAGGACACCGCAGAGTTAGAACCTCATTAGCTACGGGTGTTTCAGAAACTTGTGTGTGGAAAGTAGGTGTGCTGCTTGCTGTGAAGAGCTTGCATCTGTAGCCCTAATTTTTTTTTTCTCTTTTTGGCCCATATTCAAAATGCTCACCAATGAGTAAGCTGCTCCTCAAAGCTCAGAGCTCAAAACCAAGACTTCGTATCAGGAAAAGAACTTCCTAACATGTGACCTGAGAGTTTTAAGGTTTTAATGAACTTTCTAAATGGTTTAATGTGCCATTAAAGCTCATCTCGCTGGTAGGACATAAAGATTTATACTAACAAGCTCCTTTAACAATAAAATAATTCACCTTTAAATAATATCCTGAAATTGAAATAGTTGGCTGTATGTTGTTTTAGCAGGAATGTACCTTTCTCCCGCCAGGTGTGGTGGCTGACACCTATGATTTCAGCACTTGGGAGGCTGACACCGGAGGGCTGTCATGAGTTTGAAGGCAGCCTGGGCTGCAGAGTGAGTGAGATCCAGCTTCAAAACCAAGCCAAGCCAAATGCATCCTTCTCTAAACTACATAGAATTTTCTGTTTCCGACTTACAACTTTACAAGGATGTGAATTTTTATTGGTTTAGATCAAATTACTTTATTACAAAAAAACACTTTTTGCTCAGGCAAAGACTGGGATGTGCCTGCTTACAAGGGCTTTTTGTTGTATTACATATGGATTAAAAAAATGGAAGGTTTCATTTCTTTAAAAAAAATTCAGAGAGAGAGAAAAAATGTGTGTGTCTGTCTGTGGAACTGAATTCTGGTCCTCTGAAAGAGCACTAAGTGCTCTTAACCACTGAACCATCTCTCCAGCCCCCAGGAAGTTTAATTTTGAAGTAAATGCTGTTGACAGGTGCGCGCGCGCGCGCACACACACACACACACACACACACACACACACACACACACGCACACGATGAGCTATTGCAAATGCAGTTAGGGATTCAGTTAGAGAAGGTTAGATACTGAAATCTGCATTTTAAACAGTACTAATGGAACCTAGTCTTCATCTATAAGCTTACTGGTTTGGGTTAGAAGTTTCTCTTTAAAACCTGTCTTATCTGAGTGGGTCCTCACAGGGTGAAAGGAGTTTGGGGTTTGGTTTTTTGGTGGGGTGCTAGACATTGAACTTGGGGTCCCACATATGCTAGGAAAATGCTCCACCACTGAACTAGAATCTGCAGCCCTTTCACTTTTTACTTTGAGTCAAGGTCTCATGAAGTTGCTCAAGCTGGCCCTGAGCTTATTCTGTAGCCCATATAGGCACTGAACTTGTGTTTTTCCTGCTTCAACCTCCAGAGTAGCTCCAGAGTAACCTTCCAGGCCTAGAATAAGTGTGTTATTTATTTATTTATGTATGTATTTATTTATTTTTGAGACAGGGTCTCACTATACTGTAGCCCTGGTTGGCCTGGAACTCAAAGAGATCTGTCTGTCTCTGCCTCCAGGATGCTGGGATAAAAAGTGTGCCACCACACATGGCTCAAGGTTGTTCTAAAGGTAATTTTAGAGTGAAGAGTCTGTATCCTATTTTATATGTAGTCAGTCAATAACCTTATTTAAAATAGAGTCTCAGTGAAAGGTGAAAAGAAACAGCAGAGTTGTCTCTGAGAGACTGGCAAATAGTTGGAGAGGCAGAGTCAACATTTGTATTTGTTTTGCTTTCCTTAAGACTACCTTATGGAATAAAGATGTAACAATGAGATTCACAGATCCAAAACACGTTTGAAAGTACTCCCCTTTTTATTATCACAGATGTGGTGATGAACATTCCTCTTCATCCTAAAAGGTCCTCTTGATCACTAATCACTCATGTGATACACCAAGAGCACTGCACAGAGCTGTCACTTGTACCTGTCACACCAAACACAGTCCACAGCAAGCAGACATACCCCAGGCACAAAAATTCCCACATGTTCAAAGACTATGAGATCCGGAAGGAGCCGCTCCAGATTTTAATTTCTTCCAGAGAAATTCACAACGTTAAAGTTTCTCTGTATCTGATGATTTGGGGGAGGGAAGAGAGGCAGGAGATGCTTTTAGGGGGCCAAATCGGGTGTCCATTAGTATAGCCAGGCCATTCACTTGTCCGGAATTGGAACCACTGCGGTGCTAGCAGAGAGCTTTAAGCTTGCTATCGGCCTCCGTGTACAGGAAGGACTGGTGTAGAGCAGCAAGCACCCTGCTCTAAGCACAAACCAGAAGGGGACTATGGCACCAGCTCCATCTATCCTCTGCTCTTAGTTTTTCTTAGGCTCAGAGGCCCACATATTGGTCAAGCCAGTTTATACCACTCTGGATGAGAACTAGTTAGTAAAACTAACAGTGGATAGTATAGATCATTCTGTGTGCTATTTAGTTAGTAGCACTGTTTGCATAATAAAAATGCACTCTCCATAGCCACGAGTGTGGTCTTGGATGTGTCTCAGTTGATAGAGTGCTTGATAAATATGTACCAAGCCCTGGGTTCAGTACTCAGCACTATGTAAAACTGGCATGGCAGTACACACCTGTAATCTCAACATTCAGAAGGTAGAGGCAGGAAGATCAGAAATTCAAGGCCCTTGTGGCATGTCAAGTTGGAGGCTAGTTGGGGATACGTGAGACCTTATCTTAGAGAGCCAATGGGTGCTTCTACTCAGGACTAGAGTCTGATGGAGCAACTGTGTCTACACCCAGCCTCAGGTGAGGTTAGGCTGCTGCTGACAAAAACTCTTTGTGAACAGCAGGTTCCCTTGCTGCTTTCTGAGCACTGGTTGTAGATTCATCACATCACAGCAACAATTTGTCTGTACCCTCGTCTGCAGAAGGAAACCTACCAAGCACATTTAAATTTAAAATAAATGGAGCCAGCTACGTAGCAATGGAACATTCTGCTCAACATACACATTTTCTTAGACATGCAATCTGGAGAGATTAGTACTAATGTTCAGCTCTTCCTAAGCACAAGAGATTGCCATTGGGCAGAGGGGGTGGATTGGAGAGGGCATTGTGGAGAGATCTGTACTTCAAAGGCAGAAGAAAAATCTCATTTCCCGAGAGCCCAACTGTACAGAAAGCCCTTTATTCAAAATTCCAATATAAGGCTTGGGAGATGGCTCAGTCAGTAAAATGCTTGCCTTGAAAGTACAAGGAGCTGTGTTCAATCTCCAGAACCTACATAAAAAAAAGGCACAGGAATCCCACCCATTCATAGCCCCAGCATGGGGGAGGTAGAGACAAGTGGCTCACTGGTCTGCCAGCCTAGCCTACACGGCAAGTTCTAGACCAAGGAGAGATCCTGTCTCAATAAAAAAAGGCAGTGGATGGTGCCTGAGGAATGACAGCTGAGGTAGCCCTTTGACCTCCATACACACACATATACACACACACACTTCCAAAACAAAGATTCTTCTAAAAACAATCAGAAATAGGAATATCATTACCTATCAAGTGTTTTACATGTTAATTTTATTCCTGTTAACTTTTCTCTCCAGAATTACTACTGGGAAAACAGCTTAATCTCACTGTAATATAGCAGATTAAAGTAGATTCAAAGACTGTAGCCCAGCATGACAGCTCTGTGCTGCTAGGGCTCCTTCTAGGAGGCAGTGAGAATTTACTAAAGGTGAATGTGGATGGATAACACGTGTGTGTGTGTGTGTGTGTGTGTGTGTGTGTGTGTGTGTGTAGAACAGAGTCATCCACAAGAGCCAGAGAACCAGGGTGAGTCCCAGTATCCCTACATTAATAGCTAGCACTCTGTGGACTGAGAAATGAGAACAGGAAGCTGCCCCAGGGACGTGAAGGAGAAGATGAGGTAGAAGAAATGGAAAACCAACACTCCATAGCTCTCATGGGCTACTCAGAAGGAGGCAAGAAGAAAAGTCAAGTCTAAAGCAAGAGAGGAAATACACAGAACAGTGTTAGAACTTGCACACTCCCCACACCAGATGTGGTGGTTCTAAACGGTCTGAGTGTAGTACACAAGAGATTCCCCAGTGCCAAGGTCAGGAATTCCAATGTTCCTGAGTGACACTGGTTATGACATTAAGTGACAGTGGTAAGGAGGAATCTGTCTGAAACAGTTTTTCTTCTGAGTAGGTTGGTGAGTCCTAGGCTCTTGGGCTTAATTTACACAGTCAATGAAAAGTGAAAAAAGTAAATCCCAAGGATGAGGGGTGGGGGTTGAGAGATAGCCCTCTGTAACTGGGTTGTATTCTAAGGTTGGCTCAGAGAAGCTGGCTGCTAGGATTGGAACTCTGTTTCCTCCAATTCTCATTCTCTCTCAGGATCATCAGATGCTGTTTCCTAACATGGAAGAGGCAAAAAATAATAAAGACTGAACTTGACCAACCAGACCCAGGCTGAACCTCGGGAAAGTTTGAGTTCCAAGATACTTAACAAAATTTGTACAGCAGACTTCCTCTAATAAACTCACAAGCACACTTTGACATCTGAAGGGGTCTTTGGTTGAGCTGCAGACGTGGGGTAGGAAGAGTCAGGAGCTTGGGGGCAAAGGGGCTTTTCCTCCTCTCCCTTCCTCAAGTGTGAATTAACCAGTTCCAATTTCACAAGCAGTTCCTAAAGTATTACCCCAAAAGCCAACCACTTCTGTAAGATCTTTAGAAAGAAGACGCTACTGTCATTCAACAAACGTGAATGTGGAAAGTCAGGCATCCAACAGAGTGAAAGGTACATAAAGCCGAGCAGTCTAGTCCAGGCCTTGGAAGAAACAAGCAGCCAAGCAGGTAGGGAGAGTTCCTACAGGAGCCTTAAAACTGAGCAGAGGCGTTAAGTGCTGACCAGAGGTTAGCAGGGGAACAGGGAGAGCATAAAAAGCCTCTGGCTCAGGAAATTTTCATGGAAGAGATGAAACTTGAGATGGGTTTGCCCTTCCTGTATTCTCTTCCAAAAGGATGCTGCAGACTTCAGTGGGGAAATTAGCTCAATTTTCATCTTGGTCCC